CTGAAACTTTTGGAGCCCGAGTCTGCAGTGGTGAGGCTGTTCCTATACTTAATATTACACCCATAACCATAAAACATTCACTCCACATAAAGCCAAGTGTTCGGGTCTGGCCACAGAAGTCTCCCATGGGTGCTGCAGTGAAACCGGCCTGCAGTGCATTATGGGGATCTGGAAGAAATACTAGGAATAGCCTACTACAGCCATGGTAAACTAATTGTCCTGGATTGACAAAGCCACTATTTCAAATGTCTAAGTGTTGTGAAAGTACACCGTCGGCTATTTTACAGCATACTTGATCAATATTTCAGTGGATTAAGACTACTCTCAACTATTTTGTGTTAAATTGTTGGTATATTGGGAGGTGTGAACGATTATGTGAAGATATTAGTAAGTCAATACAATGTATTTTATTTTAAACTGGAATCAGTTCTTTGCCTTCAACTGTTCAGTTTGTGTGTTGCCTTTATTAACCAATTTGTACAACCCATTGCATGTTACTGAAATGCACTCTTTTATCACTGACCTGCTATTATGAAAACTGAGATGATTAGTAAAATATCATTCACAATTGATTTGTTACTGGTTTGTTACTGGTTTGAGCCCAGGTTAGCCCCTATGTATGTATGTGTATGTGTATATATATATATATATATATATATATATATATATATATCACACACACACACACACACACACACACACACACACATATATATATATTTTATATTTATATTTTTTTTAATTTTTTTTAATAGTTTTTCTTATATACCTATATCCCTTACATTTGGAATGCAGAAGCCAGTGTAGCATCCACAGTGCGTGTGATTGTGTGTGTGTGTGTTTGTCACCGGACACTAACAGAGTCATTGAAACAGTCCAAAGTAACTGGAGCGCAGCTTCACTGCAGGACATTATAGGAATTTACGATGTGTTAAATGTTTCCTTTGTTCCTCCCTCAGTCCACTTGATCCAGTAATTAGGAGAGGCAGCAGGTTGCATGAGCTCATTATGGCACTGCACCACCTCAGACCACCTTAGCTGCCATATCTGTCTGATTCATAAAAATGTTTTATGTGGGATTTAGGGATTATTTTGGGAAAGAAACTGAAATAATATAATAGGTTATATGTTCCACAAGGCTACCATGCACAAGTAACATTTGTAAAAGTAATGTGTCTAATTAATTACCAGCACAGATCCATGTAATACCCCCTTTGTTTCCCAGTTAACATTGTGGTTAAATCTGAAACCCTGATGGCACTTAGCCAAAAGTTAAAATGCCAGTGGCTTTTTCTCAGGCCTCTGCTCCCTGAAATAAACCCCATGCCCAACTCCATTTGGCCAACCAATCTGGGCCGGGGTGGGGCAGGAAGAGCAGAGGTATAGGTTGCTCTAGTAATAATCATAAATCAGTGGTGAAGCGCTGCCATGTCACATGCCAGACTGCGCACTAATGACCAGGCCCATCTTTCACTGCCTATTTTTATCTGTGTGCCCTGACACAGGCGTCTGGAAGCATCCTCTCGTTTTACGTCGTCAGCACCTCGCCGGCAGGAGCAGAAGTTCCTCACATATCTAAAAATACAGCCCCCCTGCTCCCCCTGCTCCCCATGGCAGGGCCTGAGCACTGGGACTTGGCACAGCAACCTGTCGAGCAGGACCAAGAAACATCTTCAGGCTTAGCCCCCGCCCCACGCCACCCTCCAGGGAACAGCTGGCCAAAAAAATAGATCCATCTGCCAGTGCCTTCAGATTCCACAGTCGTTACGCTTTAATTAAACACGCTCAATGTGTGCATGGCCTTTTAAATGTGAATTTTATTTTTTAAAACGCTCCTCTGATGCTGATTTCCAACTCTGTGCACACACAAACACCTGCACATGTGCTTCCTTTGTGCACAATGTTCTGCCAAGTGTTTTAAGCTCTCTGACATGTGGCACTAGAGACTGCAGGTCAACGACAGCTCGGGGCTATTCTGGGCTCTGTCACAGCTTGAGCTTTTAATTTATTCGACCAGAATGTGTCAATCAAATAGCAACAGGGTTAAGGCCTGAGAAACCTGCGGAGACCAGGGAGGGACCTCTTCAGTCTTCAGCTCCATTCACACTGTACACTGTGGTCCAGCTTTTAGTGGTCTGATAAAATGATCATGTCACAAACAAATCATGGATGGATTAGTGGCAAAATGCAACATGTTTATTATCAAATATGTAATTTGATCCAACTTCAGACAAAAGGCTAAAAGGCTAGATCCAAGGTATTCTGTTGTGAATGAGAGATCTGATTCCTGTCTGTGCTGTTAATGTGGCAGGTGCTATTGTGTAACATGTAATGGTGACAGGCTAGAGCTAGTAATACTACTCATTTGCCAATGGGCTGTCCCCTCTGTGCCAGGGCTTGACAAGGTTTAGTTGAGATTAGTAAATCTAAATCACAATCTATGGTTAGATGACATACACAAGTCTGTTTCAGAGATAGAGCTACAGGGAGAATGGGCCAATGCCAAGTGTGGAATATGACCCTGTTATTGCAGAGCCAAAACACACATGCCCGACTCAGTCCACATGTTATTCTACCTCATCCATGCCTGGCATCAGCAAAGGGCCTATGCATTTACAAGTCATAGCCAACTGTTGTTTTTAAAATTATTCCAAGTCCATATGAGCTGCGTATCTTATCGCTTTAACCACTAACTCTATGTTACACTGCTGGTTCCAGCACATGCTGAGGTGCACTTGACATGTCTTAGTCATGTAGTAGTAGCCATGATAGATACCTCACTGGTGTTGTCTTGAGTGTATGTTTCAAATGATGACTTGAGGTGAACCCATGCCCTACCTGCTTGTCAATGGCCCATCTCACCTGATCCTGGGGGCTAAACAGGGTTGGGCCAGGTTAGTACTTGGATGAGAGACCACTGGGAATAGCAGGTACCACAGTGAGGCAGCAGAGGCTCTAGACTAGTGGCTACCATACTTTTTTTTTCTTGTACTCCTGAAACTTTTGATACAACCTCTAATAGTTATTGGTATATTTTTATTACACTTCCATAACTTTCTTTGTGCACCCCTTGAATCAGTCTGTGTATGTTAGGGGGATTCCATACCACAGTTTGGGAACCACTGCTCTAGAACAAACTATCTACATCAGGGCAGATGTGGTTGCAATAATATCTTACCACCAACGAATGTACAATCAGTGATTAATGCACAAAATTATAAAGCAACTCTGAGTGCCTGGAAAAGCATTATGTAAGACTTGATGCATTATCATTATTATAATAAGCCTTGCATTAAGACTTTTGGACATTACCTCGGACCAAATCAAGTGACGTTGGTGGTTCAAGTTTTCTCCAACAGCAAACAGATGTTTCTCCTCTTCCCTTCACTTCTTGCTATGCTCTGTCCAAACATAATATGTACAAACAATATATTACAATTTTAATAAGATTTATACACAGGTAATAGGTAAATAATTAATTTTGTAAAACTGGCCTTGACATTGCTTAGGTCTGAAAAGTTCGAAAATTTTGAGCAAAATTCATACAATAATTGTAGTCTACATATAAATTCAATACTGATCGGAGGCCTTTCTCTAGCCAATTGCATAATCCCTCTCTTTATCATTGGCTTGCTGGTTGATGCACTAGGCAGCAGGCCATGCCACAAAAAAGAACATTTTGTCTGAATGTTTGTGTGTGCGATGCCAGTAGAATTTGACTTCTCTGTTTCTACCACAAAGGCATTTTGGACTGTTTTGAAAATCATAAATAATGGAAGATACAACTGCGTTTTGTGTGGTTCCATGTCAGCAGTATGACCTCAGCAGCTAAAATAAATAACAGCACAGAACAAGACTCCTGGTTTGATCCTAGCCACTGACAAGCAATAGCAAACATCCAAATTTTCAAATTAACTGGTCCAAGATTGTACATTTTTCTAAGTGCCAAAATGGTTTGACATTGCATTCACAGGCTTAATTCAAGCCTTTATACATTAATTACGTTACCTTTGAGCATCCAACATACTTACTTTAAAGAAGGCATATGCTATTGTCTGGTATTAAATATTAAAGTATAACATGTAAATCATGATTTTACATTTTGTTCATTGTATAACACAATATTGATCTAAAATTACATGATATAATAATAAACTACTAAAGTGGCATTACTTAGTTGCAAGGATCTTTTCATCTACTTGTTTTTAGTGGTGTAAAATAGCTGTGTGACATTTTTAACCCTACCTGGAATCAGATTTTTAAAATAATCTTAAGTATGTAGTAGTGGGCGGAGTTAGTGGCAAGGTGAAAGCACAATTTTCACAGAGCTCTCAAACCTCAGGACAATACAGTGTTACTCAAACATGCATGAATTAATCAAAATACAACTCTGAGTAACCTTATGACTAGGAAACACGGTTATATGTTATAAATAAATGTTAAAGCCTAATAAAAGTCAATTTTACATATGTTCCCTTTAATTGGCATAGTACCTTTGAGAGCCACTGTCGAACTTCACTCATGCTCTAATATGGCTCATATAGTCATTGCACAGAGTTGTTTTTGCATTGAGGAGATAAATAAAACTTCGAGCGCGTCACTTACACCAAACTATTAATAAGAATGTCATTCGCTGCGCCCCCGCCTCCTCCTTTGGTCTGTACCCCATTACTCCTCTGGACACTTGCCCAATAATGTCCGCATGGCAGCTGGACGCATGCGCACTGACACGGAGAGTTCAATGATGAAGTTGGGTCTTGTGTTGCGGTACTGCCTGGTGCTCAAACTTGGACGCGGGCTGACAATAATGCAGTTTCACGAAGAAGCGGACAAGACAGTCTTCCATAACATTACGCGAGAGTCAACTTGGAGTTTTTGAATGCGTTCGTTTGAGTAAAGAAGTTGTGCGTTGTTTTTTGTGGGACGTCATGGGGAGGAATGGGCAGTAGCGGCGTATGTGTTTTGGAGCAGACAGTGACCGCGTGTTAACAGCAGGGAGAGCTGCAGAGACCGGTGCACTTGAGTATGAACCGTGTCCAGCACTGAAGGAACTTGGAACTGCAGCCTGCGACACGGACAGAATCATATAAAAGGTATATTCACTCTATTTATGTTAAGTTCTGATATTTCTCTTCTTTTGTCTAATTTAATTTGACACAGTTATTTATAAGTAAAATAAGTTCTTATTCATATCTGTTTGTTGTGATAGCTAAGGGTATTCTAAATAAACGGGACATTAATGTGTATCCCTTTTGTTACATATTTTTTGTGGTTTGTTACCGTTACTTAGGCTATAACCTAAATGCGTTATTTAATGTAGACTTATTTTACATGTTTTCTTCTTTGGACTTTTTAACGCTTTAAGTCATAGTCATCATTTAAACCTTAGACTGTTGGATTGTGCATAATGCGTCATAATAGGCCAAGGCCCTTTTGATTAGGCCTACAGTCTACATTGGCTCCAGAATGTTTCACCTTAAAATGCTCTTACGTATTTTTACATCACCAACATCAACATTTTATTTCAGGCGTTTAAGTCGACGCACGGAGCGATCTCGTTGTCTTTGCAGCTCGTGCACACCTGTGTCCGATGGCCCCGTGGAACCTCTTCCCTCTTCTTCTTCCACGTGGAGTTTGTGTTTATATTTGATATGTAGGAAATGGGAATCTTACCCCGGGACCGCGCTCCGAAAGGCTTGAATGGCCCTGGCTATTGGCCTGCCCCTAACAACACCACGACGAGATCCGCGCTCACTCCAAATCTGATAGGCCTTCTGCACAGTCATCCACGCAGATAGGATTTCACTTTTAAGCGCTCGCTCTGTAGTTAGCGGGAAGGCTTTAATGCACACATGATGCTTGGGATTTGACTATGATAGATTTTTCTTCTTCGTATTCGAGGTGATAGAAAATGTTTGTGTTTTTACTTTTTAAAGTTTTATTAAAATTTGCCCAGCCTTTTTTCAGGGGCCTTGAGCGCTACTGAGCGGGTGAAATTGTCTGCCTTATTGCAAGCAGCCTCCACAGTATGATTATGCTTATGTTAAAAATATCAGAGGCCTACTAGGCCTATTCAAATAGTTTATTTTATCTCTTTTGATTTTATCTGACATTAAATATTATCTTTGGTCACCTCTGCAAACGTTACGCACCACATTCACAGAAAGAGGAAGGATCAAATGAATACTTTGTTTTTATGTAAGAGTAATAATAGGCTATTGAGATGTTTTCCGTGTTGCAAGCGCTCAAATTGAATTTCAGTGCGCTCCTCCTGGTTACGCACCTCTAATGGGACCCCAGAAGCCTTATGGAAACACAACTCCTTAAGTGTCTGCTGCTTTTTAACTACGTGTCATGTTAAAATCGATTGATGCGTAAACGATTGCCCGGTCAATAAGCCTGAGTCGAATTTAATATGCGACTTTTCACTTGAACTCCTCCAGCAGCAGTCTGCGGTTTGTTGGACATTGTGCTCTCTTTGGCTTTTATAGCGTGAAATTACCGCAGTGCAGCCGTGTGCAGCGCGCAGCCTGATCCTCCGCTGTGCCCAGCCTACGTGTTTCTTCGGTGCTGTCAATAGCCATGGTGAGAAATATAATTCTCTCTGCTGGGACGCCAAAGGAAATGGCGGGCATTATTGATTCCCAGCGCAGTGTCAGGTAACTTCTGGGAGGGTCTTGCGCTGGGACTGGGAGGCTGTGCAGTGCAAAGGGATGCGAATAGTCCAAGTACCAAGTTTAGACCTGAAGGATGAAGTTAGACTACAGAAAGCAAGGTGTCAACTTTTTGAAGGTGAATTTAGGAATGCCACATATGGGCTTTTTATTTATTTTAGTTTTTTAGTAAGCATATTCAAATTTTTTTGTATCTCAAATCTCAAAAAAGGGTAATTGGTTTGAAAAATAAAGATTATGACCTCTACATGATCACACAGTTAAAATGTGGCTCTGCAGTCAGCTCTCTTCCCTTTTATCTTGATGACAGTCTCAGAATGTTTGCTCACTAATTCTTTTGGTGTGTCCTAAAGATACACTGACTACAAGCCACTTGAATGCTGCTTGATAGGAGACAGGTGGGCCGTGGTTGGTTCATTGGTTAGATTTAGATAAGTAATTACACTCTTCACACTATTCATGCAAAGACCTATAAATCATCTCTATGACCTATAAATCATCTCTATATTACTGTAGTAAACAGTAATATTGGCAACATTAGATAAATTATAGTTTTACTTTATATTCTGGAAGTGTTATTTTAAGCTAAACTATAGACTTACTTTACGTAAACGTTTGTACAATGGAATCTGCACATGTAGAAAAAAGACATGCATATTGATTGTGTTATTGTCTGTTTATTTTTAAAATGAGATAAAATATTATTGTTAAGGCTGTTCTTAAATGTTTGTACCCCCAGTGGAAACACAATACTGTAATTTTGAATGAGAAGTTGATGTGGTTTGAGCAATGAGCTATTGTCTAGAATCAAACATAAATATAAACATAAAACCCCTGAACAAGTTCACCAAATATCAAAATGTCCCATATCACTTATCTTCCTGTTTGTTTTTTAAGTCGGATAGTGAAGCGGCACAGTGAGGTCTGTCCTCCACAAAGGTGAGAGAGAGAGGAAGGGGAGAGAGAGGGAGGGAGAGGGGGGTGAGGCCCGGCACAAATCAATTCACCTAAGAGACGCATTATTGTCTTGGGTTTCAGGCGAGGAGCAGCTCAACGCTATGAAAAATTAAAAGGTTGCCAGTTAGTTTAAAGGATTGAGCCAGAAAAGCACACACACATACACACATACACAGAGCATGCTGGGATGAGAAGAAGTTGAAAAGCAGTACTACTAGTAGTAGGAGGGCTCTGTGATTAATCAAATTTAAAATTGTGGTTTCAAACATTCTCACCTAAATAGGCTTTAAGCACAAAAAAACATTAAAATACATTAGGTGTCTACATTCTATACATGTCAGTCATGACAGTATAGAAGGAATTATTTGAAGCCATTGTGATTTCCATTATGAACCAGTAATTATGATTCAGATTTTTTGCCATAATCAAGCAGCTGTACTTCAAGGTCCTGGTGTTGAAACTGATATACATTATCTTTTAAAATAAAGCTAAAACAGGCTCTCTCAGACAAGTGGAAGAAAGTTTTACTCAAGCTATAATGGCTTAATAAAAGAGATATTTGAATAGTAGTTTTTATGTATTGTTTTGTAGTTCTCAGCCCACACAATACTTGATGAAAAATTAGACAAACAATAATTCCATATTTACATAACACTTACCCAAATCACTCAGGTCTCTCAGTTCATCTGAATTGTGTTTAGTTTTGCACCAATTTCAACAGAAGCTATAATTGCTAAAGAATTTACGTCGCCACACCTTTTCACCTTTCGTGGGAACTCCGTGTCTTTTTGTTTGTGTGTGTATGTGCGATTTTGTGCTCCCATTGTTCAGGTGTCAAACTTTCCTTCAGGTTCTTGAACAATATGGCTGGGAGTAGCATTGTTGTCTTTTGTTGTGGTATCAGCCTTTGCGTGACACTACAAGACAGGGACGAATGACTGTTTTTTAATATACCAAAATCCTGGCGTCTTATCTCTGTTGGATTTTTGAATCGGAACGCGCCAAGCTGTCTCCAGTCTGGTCCTAACAGGGTCACTCTCTGGCTTTGTGTGCGCGGCCAGCTTGTGTGTCTGCGCTCTTGTACCAGCCAAGCACCCTGATCAGTTACATGTCTCTGTTTTCATTGTTGATATTTACTTCTGCAATTCTCTGTCCACTTCGCCCCCGGCTGAAGATGATATGGTGAAGTTAGCGCTGCTGCTGCTTCCCTGCGCTGGGCTCCTGTTGCTCACACATAAACATACTGACAGGACATCTCACCGGCTTGTTTAGATAGAGACATTAATGTATGCAGCAGGCATGCATGATCTCAGCAAAAAGCCAATCAGTGTTCTATTAACAGCACTGATAGATTTCAATATGTGAAAGACAGTAGAGGCAGTGAACGGGCACTTCATGAGCTGGTTACTTGCAACGATGCGTTGAAATGATGTGTGAATGGATGGTTCTTTTGTGTAAAGTGAACATTTACCATTTTACTTTTTATATAACATGTAGGGATGGGACAATAAATAATAATATTGTTTATTGTGATAAAAAGGATTGGCAATAATTGTTTGTGGAGAATTTTATATAATCGTGATATTCGCCAACAAAGATAATAATCGCCATTGTATCACCAAAATATGCAGAAAGAAGCTACTTATCCATCGTGATCTCTGCTAGATCAAAGTACATTGATATAAAAGTTGTTTAAACTTGGAACTTATTTATAACATTAAATTATAATTACTCATATCCAGAACATTTTTAAACTTAGCAACTTAAAAAAAGATTGTGATGTAATCATTAACTGCAATTATTTTGACCATGATAACCAAATTTCGACCCATGCTGGTAAGACAACTATTCAGAGCAATTGACTAATGATAATAAAATGTAAAGTAAAGTTAAAGTTAAGTTAGAAATACCACACTGCTTATGGTGGTTTGCTTAGCTGTGATGTAACGCGTCCAGTGCTCACACAGACAAATGGCATTAGCAGCAGTTTTCTGTATAGCATTGGTAAATATCAGTAATTGTTGGTAATTGACTTTGTGTGTTCTCCTTCAGTTTGTGCAAGAGCCTTCCAGAGCAAGCCATGGAGGCCTCACAGGACCTGAGCGAGCAGATGGTAAGTCGCTGCTACTGTTTGTATGTGAATGAGTGAGTGGAGAGTGTACCTCAGGCAGGCCTCATGTGCAGGGTATAGATGCACTGCAGAGCTGTGCTAAATAACATACAGCAGATGTGACCCAGCCAGTTTACATTAACCATATGGCAACAAGCAAGATCTTGAGACATCATCCCATGAAACATTTGAGTAAGGGTGGCTATAGAATTTAAAACAAATATAAAGTTTTACAAAATTCATAGGAATGAGTTTATTTGAGATAAAAAGTATACATGTACAATTCTATAATGGAATAAATGTAAATGCCAGTTGACACAGAAACAAAATATGAAGGGAAAAACAATCCTTTTCCTCTTGGGGGCAACTAACCTCTCTGGATGGCACTGTGCCGTTGACCTACTATTAGGCTCCACCCTATACCCAGATCCTGTTCCCAATCAGATCACAGATTGTCTGACAAACTTGGAAATTCTGAGAAGTCTGTTGAAAAGAATAGAACATTTAGATTTGAGCTTGTGGTCAGACAGGTCAGATCTTGTGGGGTATGTTTTGCTTGTTGGTCCATTAGTAGAAAATTGTGAAATTTATTTTAGAGATTTATTACAATCAGTAAAGGTTTATTGATATTTTGAATGACAAAAAATGTCAAACTATGAATTCTGTTATCTCTTTATGGCTGGTGGAAGTGGCACTTTGAGGTGTGCCAAATAGATAATGATAATAATCTAGATTCAGTATTCAAGCCTAAGCCATGCCCTTGACAAAGTTGGAAAGAGACTAGGGCTTCAACAATTCATCTGAATAACTGTGAATAGTCTACTTAAAATAATCATAATTGTATTTTAATATCACAAATCATTTTCTGGACTCATGTTTCAGTGGATGATAGAAAAATACTTGATTTATTGATTAATCAAAAAAATAATAATCACTAAAAGCAAATTGTCACTGGCAAAATGCATTTAAGTCTTGTGTTGTAGTAGGAAAAACTGCTATTTGTGTATGCTATGGATACCACTATTTTACTTGCTAATGCAATTATAAAAGGCTATGGTGCGGTAATGCCACCTCTCTGCTGACATTTGCAGAGTTGTGCGCGTGTAGCCTGCAGGCCGGTGAGTGTAGGCCTGTGCGTCACCTCGCCTCAGCACCGTCCCACTTGGGCTTGTTTAAAGATCAGGCCTGCGTATTGTTGGGAAAATGATTTTGGCGGCGACTGAGGTGCTCTCTTAGATTTCAAAGTGGTTAGTCAGCCTCCAGGACAGGTGTAATTTCATCTGGCCCCTCTCTCTCTCTGCTCCTCTCGCTCTGACCTGCACCTTCCATGTTACAGGCATAGTGTGAAGTGGGACAGTCCTGAACTATGCTGTTTTTCACCCACTTTTTTGTCGAAGCTGGGGTTTTGGGTTACCTCCTGACCCCAGCGGAGTACTGTCACTGGTACAAACACACAACAATAACACAAAAGAAACAAAGGAAAAGAGCATCCATCACGTGTCGTTCCAACTATCTGATATAGATATTCCACAATTACAGCTCCTTAAATAGAGGCCTGTATCATTTATAATGTGAATGTGAGCTGCAGCCGGAGGGCATTGATTAATTGTTCAGGCTGGAAATGAGAGCTCAGAGGAAGAACACAGATTTTTATCTTGGGACAAAGTGCTCAATGCGTAAAGAGACTGAGGACTTACAAGTTGCAGCCATTTTCAGCCCTTCTTCTATACTACAAGTGAATTAAAAGTTCAGATTGATTTAAGTTTAAATATTTCCTTAAATTTGTGTCCCATGTTACAAGACCCACTACGGCTTAATTCTCTGTTTAACTTAACTGTTGTAAGTGACGTATACATTTATAACAGTGTGCTCACATGAAAGTTATGCATGTATAGTAACTCTTATTGTTTTCACAATTTACAGTAATAATAGATTATGCCCTTTGATGTGCTCTGACCTATGTCAGAGTACATCAATAATAATAATAATAATAATAATAATAATATATTTTAATGGTATAGCGTTTTTCAGGACACTCAAAGATGCTTTACAGAAGACATTAAAACACACGAAAGAGCAATAAACAAATAATAAAGTAAAGATAAAAACTGAATCATACAGAGAAAAGTTTAACATTAAAAGCTATTCTAAACAGATGGGTCTTAAGATTTTAATCACAAGATTGCACTTAAAATACTATAAAATTTGTAAACAATAATAATAATTATTTGCCTTTACTCAAGACAGCAAAAGCACAACAGCTAAATATTTGATTAGATCTATCTCCATGCATGTACCCTTTTTAGTTTGGTAAATGTATTGTGAGTAAAAATATGACAAAGAGAATCAAACCAGGATTTTCCAGTGTATTTTCAGGCTGAATTTTTGACCTCTCATCAAACCATTTAAACCGGTTAACTGCAGTCTGATATACCATTTACCTGATTGAAATCCATTTCACATTCACTCTTTTGCTGACTGAATATTGAAACTGAAAGTGTGTATTTCTGTCTTTCGACTCCATTGAGCTAATTGTGTCTCAGGTGACTAACAACTGTCCAGTCCGTACACACAAAGTTTCGGGGAGTTGTCTTTTGTTACCTGATATTGTCCCATAGACCCTGTACCCTTTAAAAGCCCCTGTGCTGTACTTCCTGGCCCTCCGCCTCTGTCCCTCGGCAGCAGGGTGCGTCATCTGGGGTGCGATCAGGCTCTGGCCGCCCGCCTGCCCCGGGACAAGCCTGCCGTCTGGGCTCCACTGGGACCTCCAAGGAGCCCAAGGCGAAGGATCGCCCGCTAATGCTACTTTTAGCCTGTTTAACTGTCTCTCTCCACCTGTTGTGAGTGAGTAGATGAGAACTGACTGTTTTACTCTGCGTTTTTAGACTGGATTATCCAGGCCAGTCTCCAAAACTTATTTGTATGTCAACAAAATTTGTATTTTGTTCTAAATATTGTAGTTTTTGTTTAACGACTATTTTTCCCATTTCAGTAAATCTTAATTTGAGAAGTTTACTCTCTCAGATTGTTTTGGCCATGGCTTCTTATGTTAGAGATCGTCTAATGAGCAGTAAGCAGGTCTTCACACTGGATGCAATCAGACACAAAATTGTGACCAGAGTAGGTTATAGTTTTATGTCTAGGATACAATACAAGGATACAAGGATTCCATTAAAAAAAAGCTTTAATTTCATTATATTGCATTATGGCTGTGTGTCTAATGATGTAATCATTAATGTGCAGAGGGCTCAAAGTGATTCTATTTTGATTACATGTACATTTTAAACAGTTTTAATTGCTCACTTGAACTGTGACCTGGCCCAAATCACTGATTGTCTTTCAAAGGGGAAGTTTACCTGTGCTTACAAATTACAAGCTGCAGTCCTGGTTAAGCTCCATACTCATGATGGTAAGTGTTTTTGTTCATATTTATCATACAGTGGCTGGACCATGTGCCCCACTCCATATAAACAAACTGGCTCTTGATGTGACTGAAGTCCAGAGCACTTTAGGAAGTATAAGAAAAGGAGAGCAGTGTTGGCAGGCCCCTGGGAGCCAAACATAATTTTAATGTATGAGCACCAGGAGAAAAATAGTGAGATGGAAACAGAGGAAAGGACTGCTCTAGATGTAGGCTTTCCGCTGGTGCATTGGGACAATCCTGAGTGCGGCAGCTGTCCCGCTTCGAGAGGCTGAGATAGGGAGAGAGAAAGAGAGAGAAGGAGAGGGAGAGAGAGAGAGAGAGAGAGAGAGAGATAAAGTGAGCGAGCTAAGTCAGAAAAGGAAAGGGGTCGGGTTGCACCTCTTTCACCCCTACAACCCCATCCAGACACATTCACACAAACTTACATGCAGCAGCAGGAGCTAAAAGCGAGCACGGCCCTGCCCTGAGTGCCAGGATGGCATTGGCGTCATAGAGTGGTCCCAAATCTGCCCAGTGACAGGCCGACTGGACTGAGCTGAGGAGAGGCTGTAACTGCAGCCTTTGGCATCCCTGAGGCGGGCTGGCACCCTGCGGTGGCACCGTGCAGCACTTGAGTTTCAGATAAGTGTACTCTGGACCGGCCAGGATTTATGCCCAGCTGACAGCTCGGAGACGCTCAGTCAGACCACTGCTTCTGCTCCGGTCTCTCCATGATACCAATAAGTCATTTTATATTCACCGTATCTATGAAATAAAAATACATAAGGACATGGCAAGGAATTAAATCTATATCTGCCAGATGAGGACAACCAAGCCAAATTACAACATTGTATATAAAGGTACTAAAAGTATTATAATACTTCTTTGGGGTTTACGGCAACACACTGGTAGTCTTGATTTTTGCAGTGCCTACTTCCCTGAACACTTCCCCATTCTTTAGCCCACCTCCGTCTACAGCACAAAGCTTCAAAGTGCTGGTGTTACAGAGGTGTGGGGTCAGCAGGTTACAGACAGACTCAGAGCCAGTGGCAGTGAAACTCAGTCCATTTCCCCCAAAACACAGAGAAAGAGCTGCAGAATCCATCTGCTCTGAGCAGCGTGGGCTGGGCAGACGCACAGACAGGAAACCACAGCATACGTATGCCTCTGTCTGCTCTGTCTGTTGAGGAGAGGGGCTCCTCTGTTTTACACATACACCCTACAGCACCGGGACGCCTCAGGTCAGACCTGGCTCTATACTGAAAGGGTTTTAGGCACTATTTCATTGATTCACATCCTCACTTATTATTGGAGCGGCAGTGCTGCAAATAGGAGAGGGTTTCCTCAGCCAACCAAAAAGTCATGGATTCAAACGGGACCCTTGTATACACATAAATCAACATTTAAACATTTTATGCGCATTACTCACTAAATTACCAATTGGTGGTTAAATGGTAAAATGTAGTGCTGACAAAGCTCTAATTTATATAGACTGAAGAGTAAACAAAGTGAATCTCCTGAAAATTTAAAATTATTTCATTTAGACTATTTACAAAGCCTGGTGGAACTTTTAACTAACATGTTTGGTATAGTAAAAATG